AAATAACATAGAAATAGAATTCATGAAAAGAGAAAAATCAAAAGGTTTGAAATGATTAAGCAATATAAAGCACAAGATTTCATAAGCACGGAGCAGAAGTCAAAAAGTTTTTATATTCGTCGAATTCCTAAGCAAATGCAAAAAGGGGTAAGCAGCTATATGATTTCAGTCAAGAAGAAGTGATGAAAGAATTATTCATGATGAGGAATTGGAAGAAAGATGAAAGCAACATACTTGAACCATTTCACTGACGAAACTAAAACCACCTGGTCCAATCACAGATCCTGCTAGCAAATATCCAGTTATGACCTGCAAGGTTTAAGAAGTAGATTGTCGAAGGCACTCCTTCCAAATATGAGATTGCAATAAACAAACTAGAAAACATACATTAAGCAACCTCCACATTGTAGCCTCCATTTGGGAAGAATTTATAAATTGATAGAAATGAGCGATGAATAAGTAGATAATATTTGTAGGTTAATCGGAATGTGTAGTTGAAAATAAGTTTAATCATTTATATATTGTTTATAAATTCTGCCAAACGGAGGCTTAGAAGGAAACCAAAAGGAGAAATAAGGAAATGAAAAATGTTCAAATTCATCAAAATTGCAAATTAGAGAAGTCAGTTGGACGGGCCGGACCAAGCCTGCCACAAAAAGCCTGAACTGTGGGATGGCCTAGCCATGAGGATGGCCCGTGCATGCCCACTCAATCTGACTCATGCAGGTTTTTTTCAATTTTTTTTCATATTTTCACTAAATCCATAAAAAAAAAAAAAAAAAACCAGCCCAGATTGGTCCAGTCCTGGCCTTTCCATTTTCTGTTGCGCAGACCAGGCCTCACTAATGGAGGGCCGGGCCATGTCGCCCATTTCGACAACTCTATTGCAAATTCAAGGAAAAGGTAAAGAACAGTTATAGTGATCGCACCGGTTGTCCAGCGCAGGCAAAGGCAATTCCACCACAAGTTGCAGAGACAATGACAACTACCAGATCAGATATGAATCTGCCAATAAAACAAAATAAATTATCACTAATGAGATACTAAATTATGTACTATAAGTGATGAATGTGAGAGGGGTAGGGAGATTGGACACTAACCTTAAATCCAACTGTAACACAGGAAACTTTGACTTGGCATTGGACATAATGAAGACATTGTCCTGAAAAATATTTTAACTGGGTTCAAATATAAGAACAATAATGAACACGTGTAATTTTATTCTTCTGCCTCATTGCACAAGACATATCCTACTTAACTCATAGAATAAGTACCTTTCGGTCTATTAAGGTCGGCATGTCTTCTGCTCCATTCTCATTATCAAGGTTAAAAACAT